ACCCCCATCCTGGTTCTGGGACCCAGAGATACTGAGAAAAACAAAGCCACATGCAACCTGGGCACAGGCTTAGAGTGCAGACTGCATCCTGTAGGCAACTCCCCAACCTTGCAAGGCAGAGTCTCTGGGCTGGTGCCATAACTGATTCCTCCCTAGACAACGTCACCCTCCCACAGCATCGGCTCCTCCTGGACGATGAGGAAGACCAGTGCACGCTGTGAGCAACAGCCTGACGCCACACAGTGCTGTTTTCTATAGATCCTTTGAAAATAGCAATTTTTTTAATTGAAGTTTTACTTGGGCAGAGTTGAAGCAGCCAAATATTTCTAGAGGTCTTTGTTTTTGTTTTAGCAAAAAACAGTCCCCTGCACCTTCTCCTTTCCAGCTCCCAATAGGCAAGCAGTTCCAATTCAGTTGGTATTTTTGGTGTTTTCATACCAGAAAAACACCTCCAACACCACTTTCCGATTTTTTCATTTCTAGGCATCAGCTATTGATATATTTCTTCAACACTCTCATCACACACACAGACACAGACACTACACACACAGTTTCCTGTCCTCCCTTCTCCCAGCAGGGTTATATTATTATTTGAGGTTACAGTAATATTTCATGTATATATGATCATAGTTATAATTATATATACACGAACTATTACACTGATCTCAACCAAGCCATATAATAGAATATGATTCCACTTCCCTTCTTGCACAACTTTTTACTTTTGTCTCTCATTAAACATGATTTACTTCAGTTCCTCTGTGCTTGTCACTGCCGCATACCCAAACTCTGTCATAAATGCAGCTCTCCTTCCAGTACGTGCAAACACAGAGCCACCCAGTGTCTCCTGGCAGGGGAGGTGGGTCCCAGGCAAGCTGCGGGAGGAGAGCTCTTCCCTGACTGTTTCTTATTACTGGGCTCCTGATGAACCCCCCTTGCTGGTGATGCTGGCTTTGCCCAGTGTTGCCGGAGGGACTCCCGTTCAATTTGCAAGAGCAATGAGCCCACCCGAGCTATCTTCTGTTGCTAGGGTGGCCTCAGGAGACAGCAGCCCTGGGTCATCTTTTTTTGTGTGAGACGGGGTGTGTAAGACGTCCTGCCACTGCATTGTTCCTTCATCTGAGGGTCCCAACCCAATTCATCACTCTTTTCCCACCTTTCGGACTTGTCCTGTGATTGCCTCTTGCATTATTTCCAGGATTTATAGTTGCTCTTAACAGGAAGGAAGATGGAATAAAGAGTCCCATATTGTCTAGGCCAGAAGTCATCTTTTCAATCATTTTTTTTTTAAAGTAGAGCACCAAAAAGCCCATTGGAAACTCAGCACGAGTGAAGTGACTCGTTAACTGGAGGGCTCACTGTACAAAGATCTGACCAGATCCTTTCTTTGAGGCCCTCAGTTATTGATACCACTTTTTTTTTTTTAATTCTTGGGCTGTCGGATGCCAGGAAAGCTGGGAACATAAGTTCTGGTTTCAACCCTGGGGGAGGACTGTGATGTCCCAAGCACAGGAAGACTATTTAGGAGACAGATGTGAGTAGACCACCAAGTGTGACAAATGTCGGCCACATGAGGACATACAGCCTGGCTACTCAAGCAAATACTCGGCAGCCAAGTCACTTTCCAGAACCTTTGCCGGCTGGGCCTGCTCCCGCAGGGAGGGCAGCACACCTTGAGGGGTTTCTTGGCACGTTTGCAAGGTGCTCTCCGACCTTGGCAAAATGAGTGTAAATATTCTCCACAATTTCAGTAGATATTTCTCCTAAATAAACCTTGTGATGTGCCAAGATCCCTAAGAAGGCAGAACCCAAGTAGACTACCTGGATGAAGCTCAAAATAATGATCTGAGTCAAAGAAGTCAGAAAAACACCAAGGAAAAAGAGAACCTTCTGTGTAATTTTGCTTGTATAAAACTTTAGAAAATGCAAATGAATTACAGCGACAGCAGATTAGAGTGTGGAGGCTGCGGGTGTTGTGGGGAGAGATGAGGGAAGGATTAAAAAAAGGGCACGAGGAAACCTGCAGGTGATGGATACGCTGCCTACCTTGACTATGGTGGTACCTACATCAAAACTTATCAGACTGCACACTTTAAATATGTGCAGTTTACTGTGTGTTATTTATGCCTCAACAAAGGGTTTAAAAAATATGGTAGGACTGATCCCTATTTGCTGGTCATCTAAATTTCAGTTTCTGTAAAATGGGGAAAATGATACCAACCTCATAATTTGGGTGTGAAGATTCAAAGAGTAAAGATTAAAAGGATGCAGGGGGAGGGTATAGCTCAAGCGGCAGAGCCCATGCTTAGCACGTAGGAGGTCCTGGGTTCAATCCCCAGTACCTCCTCTAAAAATAAATAAATAAACCGAATTACCTCCCCCCTCAAAAAATATAAATAAATAAAAGTAGAAGATTAAAAGGATGAAATGAGATGACAGTTTCCTCTGATTCAACCCTCATCTGATCCCTGGGCATGTCCTGGGATGATAACAGACTGGGTGAGGCAGAGATGACACAGGACTGGCCATGACTTGATGACTTGAAATGGGGTGCTGGGTATGTGGAAGGTCAGTACATTATTCTTTCCCTGCAAATGTTTTCGTTTTCCATAATTATAATTAAATAAACAGTGGCTCCCCGTTTCACTGAGTGGAAAATACTGAAGTCTGTACACTGGCCGGACATAATCCCGAACTTACCTCTCTGCCCTTATCTCCTCCTACTCACCTCCTCGGTCATCACTCACTGGCCTCTTTCTAGTCCCTGGAACATGCCCCAGGGCCTTTGTTCAAGCTGTTCCCCTCGGAATCCTCCTCTACCATCACTTGAACCTGCTCAGATATAGTCCTCTCAGTGAGTCCATCCTGACTCTCCCATTGAAAATTGTTACCACCTCCCACCATCACCTCCCAGGCCCCTTCCCAGCTACTTGTTACATAGCAGTTATCATCTGATGCCTTGTACAACTACTTATTTGTTGCTGTTCCCCCTCTCCCAGATGAAGGGAAGCTCCAAAAAGACAGGAATTCTTGCCTGATGTGTTCACTGCTGAAGCCTCAACATTTAGTACAGGGCTCAGTAGGTTCTCGATGAATGGGTGAGCCACATATAAACATTCTAGTGGAACGCCTGGTAGCAAGCGAGCATCAGGGGCTTCATCATAATCTAAAAATACGCCACTGAGTCATCTGATAAATATAAGTTAATTGTTCAGTCAGTACCTTCTGTCCTGATCTTTGGAAAATGAGACTGCGACAGCTGGACATTTTTTGTTATTTGCAGGAAGCAGCAAGGAAGGGAGGGATTCCCACAGTCTTTGGAGGTGGGCAGGTCTGCTTTGAATTCTGGCTCAGCCACTTCCAGCTGTGTGACTTGGCCAAGTTGCTGAGCCTCTCAGAACCTGGTCTCCTCACTGATGGTGCTAATTGGAAATGCCATGCCATCCAGGGCCAAGCCAGGACAGAAGCCCTTGGGTGAGCCTTTGTCCTTTCCACAAGATGGACAGGACCACCTCCAGGAACTGCCCGGGTGCTGTGCCCCTCTGGGACCTGCTCACAGGGACCAAGCAATGGTTGAAAGAACTGATCAGGAGGGAAAGGCAGTGACATTGCTGAAATCACAAAAGGGGAGGTGACTCAGTCCTGGCCCATCCTGAGGCCCCTTCTCCAATCCCTCCACACCCCCCCAGGTATGAGGTTATAAACAAGTGACTCAGAGGGGTGATGGGAGAATGCCCCATAACAGTTCACATCGGTGTCTCGGGGGCTAAATTTAACCCACAGCTGCAGCCTCTGGCACTTTGGGAACAAGTTAATCTTGGTGGCTGAGGCTGGTGTGTGTATGCGTGTGTGTGGAGTGGGGGAGGGTGGTCAGGAGTCCAGAGCAGGGTGGGCATAGGACTGGCTATCCTGAGCCTCTCCCCTGACCCCTTAGGTGCTAGACAGGGTGCTGGGGCCCCAAAGCCAGGCAGGCTTAGGCCAAGCTTCTTACAACTGAGAACTAAGCACAGACAGCTATCTGGGACTATTCAACTCTGAGTGTTACTTTTTTGTGTTGGTTTTTTGATCCCTGGGGGTTTAAACGCCTAGAACACCAGGAACACAGAACCTCAGTGCTTCCAAACCTCAGCAGAACTGAACTGAGGTCCTTCGAATCGAACTCGCACATCTCCTCACCGTGCAGGAAGGGAAACTGAGGCTCAGAAGAGTGATCTGGCCTGCCCAGGCCCCACAGACAAGTGGTGACCTTGTTTACGCAAGGCGCCTTCTTGATCTCTTGCATAGTCCAAGGAGGGTCTCAGAGCTGGGGCAGAAAGGGGGAAAAGTCTTCCCATTTTATTTATTTATTGATTTAAAAATATTTTTTAAATTTTTATTACTTTGTTCTATTTTTTTCAATTTTATTTTTTGTGGGGGTGTTGGTTAATTTTATTTATTTATTTTTAGAGGAAGTAATGGGGATTGAACCCAGGACCTCATGAATGCTAAGCACACACTCTACCACTTGAGCTACACCCTCCCCCTGAAAGTCTTCTCATTTTAAATTTGGGGCCACGGGGTCCTCATGCCCAAGTTCGCTGAGCAGGAAACCCAAGCACACTGTGTCCAGGGCTGGCTAGAGTGAGATACACTCCCAGGAGGAGGATAGAGGCACAAGGGCAGTAAGCCCCAGAAGGCATGAAGGAAGGGAGACCCTGAAGAGGGACTTTAAGGCTCCCCGCTTCTTAGACCTGAGGGGCAGAGCTTGGGTCACCCCTCCCCTGAGGACATCACAGGATCAAGGAACACAGTCAAGGCCTCACAGTGCTCCATTTAGAAATGAGGCAGGGAGGCCCTCGTCTTTCCGTGAGGACCTAGACACCCCGCCCCCGTCCCATGAGTCCCCGGG